GATTTATGCTCTATATAACTCTATATAACTCTTTATAACTCTATATAACTCTATATAACTCTATATAACTCTATATAACTCTATATAACTCTATATAACTCTATATAACTCTATATAAACCTATATAACTCTATATAACTCTATATAACCATGCATACTACCACATTTAATCAATAAAAATCCCACTAAAATCAGGAACCACCGTGTACCTGTTATATGTAAAGTGTGAAACAAAACAAAAACAGAACACAAAACAAAAAACATACCACCAAGTAGAGTAAAAGAATAGAAGTCCCTAACCTACCTATGTAACTAAATTACCTTATGCCCTAGCCTACCTATATAATAAATTAATTTTTAATCTCACCTACCTATGTTTCATTAACTTAACTCAAGACTCATGAAGAAAGAGAAAAAAGAGTAAAACAGAACATAAAATACTACCACACAAACAAACATGATGTATGTATGTATGTATGAGCAACCGCTAAAGAACCCACCTAAAATATAAAAAAATACAACCTACAAACACAAACCACAGGCAATATATATAACTCTATATAAATCTATATAACTTTATATAACTCTATATAACTCTATATAACAAAATAATAAAATAAAAAATTTTTAAAAATAAAATAAATAAGATCAGATAGACTGCTTCAAGCGAGACAGAATGCCTGATCTGATTTTCATGTTTTCTCAGCTCCTATCTATACTCCTTTTCAACCATACATTTTCATCATTTCAATCATTCAAATCAGTAAAAAACTTATTTAATGTATGTAGTACACTATTATACAGTCTTAACCACAATGCTAACCGTACTAAATTGACTTCATCGAACGAGCGCCTTCGAAACTTTCTGATTGGCTGGTTGAATCTGCTATATTGCTTTTTTATATAAACATATAATCTTATTAATTAGTTGTATACATAGATTCTAGTTACTTCGGGGTGAATTCAGAGACCACACCATGCTTAACATCCGATTCCAAGCCGAGCCAAGCCAAGCGTAGATTTATAAGCGCTTTTATATTAAAATTTTGCTCGCTTTATATATATATATAAATTGATTATTGTTGATTTGTGCATGCAAAACAATGCTCTTAAACTGAATCAGAGTAAAACGAAATTTTTGCTGGTAGGTACGTGGCAACAGCTTTTGAAGCTAGAAACCGATTCAATCATTATCAAAAACAGTGTCATCCTGTTTTGCCAAAAAGCTACTAGTCTGGGATTTATTCTAGATTCCAATTTGTCAATGAAAAATCACATTAGAATGCTTTCCGTTGAATGCATGTACCAAATAAGAAAGCTCAATCAAATACGTAGATCTCTTGACACTACTACGTTGCAGACTCTGGTTCATGCCTTCGTGCACTCACGAATTGATTATTGTAATAGCCTGTTTTACGAAACATTTAGCTGTATTACAGTCATTGCAGAATCGTGCTGCAAAGGTTGTTGTCGGCGGTTTAAAATATGATCACGTATCACCAATACTGAAACAACTGCACTGGCTAACCGTAAAAAAAAGAATAATCTTCAAAATATCAACTCTAGTCTACAAGTCAATAAATCGTCTTGCACCATCTTATTTGTCGGAAATGTTTGCAAAGAAGTTGGCACCTCCTTCTGGAACGCATCTGAGGCCTCGTGATCCGAACCTGCTGCTAGTCCCAATTTCGTGTCTTCATATAGGGTCTCGTAACAAATTGTTTCAAACAGACGGTCTTGGGACCGTCTGTTTGAAACAATTTGCCTGCCTTTCTAAGAGATCCGGAGTTGAACATGCCTGATTTTAAAAGAAAACTGAAAACTTACTTATTTTCGTTGTAATTCATTGAACTGACTTGTTTTAGTTATAACTGAGTGATTTATTTTGTTTATTGTGCGACGTTAGATTAAGGAAATAATGAAGACTGTTTTTTTTTTCTTAAAATTTTTTCGTTGAAATGCACTGATAACTCTTTATTTATGTTGATTATGCCATGATATTTTTTTTTTATAGCGCTTTTGAGATCCTTTGAATTAGCGCTTTATTAAATTTTTCATTAATAATTTTTCATTAATAATATATATATATATATAATATAAATTCATTGTACAAGCAACAGTAATCAGTGCTACATATATACGCAAGCTGTTCAAATTTTTCGGGGAGAATTCAAAATAGTTTGAGACCACATCTTGCTTAACATCCGATTCCAAGCCGAGCCAAGCCAGGCCAAGCTTGCCAATATGCGTAGATTTATAAGCGCTTTTATATTAAAATTTTGCTCGCTTTATATACGAACATCCCAATATAACAAATTTTCCATCCTATTTTCAAAATTTTTTTTGATGCTTTTTAATCAGTCAGGTCACAATCTTCATCATCGATATCGCGATAAAATCAAATTGAAAATTTTTTAAAAGTGTTATTAAAAGTAACTAGTATATAGTAAAAAGTTTAAATTCTTCTGAGAGAATTCAAAATAGTTTGAGACTGCACTATAACACAATTGTATAATTTGAATGTGTAAATACAACATTATAAATGTATAATAACTACGTATATATATCTATCTATCTATTTCTTTATTTAGTTCTGCCTGTCCATGATATTTGGTCAAATTTATTTGATAGGAATTGAATATAACTTTCATACCGGCTGATTAACTACCATGCAGTAAAAAAACTACTGTTAACATGAACATGACATCATTTCCTCCAACGATTTTGCAACGAATTACCCATCCTATTTAATAAATTTTATTTGATGTTTTTTAATTAGTCAGGTCACATCGATATCGCACTGAAATCAAATTTAGAATTTTTTTAATTTTTGAAAAAAGTATTTTTATTCATTTTATGATACTACTTTGTTCAATAAGATACTGTTTGATACATATAATATATACGAATAGGGAAACAACTCCATACTCGAGATTTTTCAGGCTAGTAAACAGTGATAAACTACGAGGACACAGATTTAAGATTTTCAAAAACTCGGATGGAAAAATAAAGAGCAGATTCTTCAGCAGTAGAGTGGTCAACGCCTGGAACGAGCTAAGCGATGATGCAGTCTCTGCGAATTCACTCAACAGCTTCAAAGCCAAACTCGGACAGGTAGGATATTAGGAGATCTAATTAGTAGTGGTTCTTACACAGACCATAGTCTTCTGAACCACTTTAAACCCCGTTAATAATAATAATAATAATAATAATAACCAGATCAAATATGACGGTCTTCGCTTACTTTCAACGGTCGAACAAGGAGCTTACTTTCGGAGGGGAGTTGGAGGGTGATTTTTTATCGTTCGAGTCAAGTTACGATCGTATATTTACTAATTACGGAATATTGCTTTTATTTATAATGTTAAAATTTTTATTTTTTTTAATTGTTATTCAATGTAGTAATTAATTACTTTTATTTGGTATAAATTTATAAAAATAAAATCGACATTACCAAAAATAATTAAAAGTTGAAAAAATTGAGATTCTTTGCATATATATAAACCCATAAGAAAGTGTTGTACATTGGTAAATAGGCCTCCCCTTGTGTATATATATATATATATATATCAATATATATATCAAATATCTTACATACATTACATATAATGCACTGAAGATGAGTTAGTTAAAAAAAAAGTTGAGCGGTTGTGTGACTCAACATATCAATTTGTTCTAAGCTGTTTAAAATACAATAATCGACCCCCTGTTAAAATAAAATTTACTTGTTTACTACTTGATCATGGAAAAATTTGATTGACGCCAAAACAGTGTCAAAATCTGTTGGTGAATAATTTGTCGCTATTTGTCGAAACAACTATGAGTGCTTTTCTTTGTTGTTTTTTTTACAGTATCAATGATCAGTTCGACCTGAAATGTAACAGATCAAAAGATCGGAGAGTCAGTCTTCAGTCATGAAATTGTTTTCTGATTATATACTGTTTGACAAGTTAAACAAAATCTCTTCAGAAAACCACATTCATTCATGTGAAATTGTTATAACTGTTGTTATTTAACCGCTGAAACATCTCAAATTGTCAGGCATTTGTTGTATGTGGAGTTGTAGAAAACAAAAACATCGTTACTGCCGATTTTGTTTTTCTTTCCAATAACAATTGCAATAATAATTAAATTAATAATTTTGTATCATGGTCAAGTCCGTGATATAATTGGCTAGTCAACGAAAATAAGCAAGTGTACAAAATTAGCTCAAGCGGACAAAGCGATGACAAACGATAATTAAAATTAAAAAATTAAAAATATTACAAAAAATAGTTTTTATTTTAGTTTAAAAACTACCACAAACTAAAAAAAATGTATAATGATTTCTGGTGAACTTTCTGAATATGCACTATAGATCAATTCCTATGCTAAAAATTTAGTTTTACTTCAGGTTCGCTTTTAAACATTCGTCTAGTTTTCTAGTAGTTTGTTTATATATTATAGATGGTTTTCTGAAATATTTTAATTAATTTTCTTTAAAAAACTGCTGATTCAAAATTAAATTCAATAATTTTCAATTTTACGACTGCAGGCGAGCGAGTCCAAGTGCAACTCCAGTCAACTCAAAACTGTCTGCGTGCCTTTGTATGTGTGTGTTTGTGTCTTCTGTAGTCTGGTAGTACTCTATACTCTATAGCTATACTTATACTCTATAGTCTTCTATAGTTACTAATTAACCCATTTACCGCCGCTACATGAAATCAGTGTGAGGGAAACATTATATTAAAATTACAAGTCAATAATAGTCATAATAACATAGTATAAACAAAATTTTATTGATATCATAAAAATTACAAAAAATATACAACGTTACGTTTTCGCAACGTCGGCAGGATTCAGTATATTTAGAATTTTTTATGTAATGTTCAGAATATTAACAATGTACATAAAAAATTAATTGTTTTATTTGTTTGTCACTGGTGGTATGTTGTGAAACATTTAGCATGAATGCCCACCATACATTTGCCGCAAATATAACATGTCGTACTTTTACACTGTCAACATCTGAGCCTGCGTCCTTCGGGATGTTTCAAAATGTAATGATCCGACGTCACCCTAGGATCTGATAATTTTTTAAGTGATGATGGAGATCCGCATAAAATTTTATTGGATTGGCAATCGTCATCAGGAGCTTTAGTGGATAAAAGTGTAATAGCAACTCGACGACGAAATTCCAATAAATCAATTTTGCTCCCATTTACAAGTCGATACACTTTCCATGCATTGTAGAGAGCAATATCAACATAATTTACAAAATAAGGCCACCACCATTTTTTCCCTTTGATTCCTATTCTATATTTTGCAACAAAATTATCTAACAGATCTACTCCGCCCATATTAGCATTGTAGGATGCAATGAGATTTGGTTGCTGAATCATGATAGATTTTCTTTCGGATCTTGAAAACCTTTTTGCTGTCAGGAGTGGCTCAACCGATTGAAAATTGCTTGCCAGGGTTACTACAGAGTTGTCATTCCATTTGACTGCCAGAATTTCGTTTTTGATGTCAAAACAACTGTCAAAAGTTCTCTCTTTTTTTGAAGCTTCTTGGTGTCTTCTAATATTGAGTTAATTAATCGAGGTTCACGTACAGTTCCAGTAGCATAAAAATGTGCAGCTCGAAGTTTGATCATGAGTTTGTGGGAAGTGAAAAAGTTATCAAAATATATAGCATGTTGCTCTGGAGTATTCACTACCTGTAACAAATTTAAAACCACATTGGCTCCAAGACCTAGATCAGGATCATAGTTTTCATCTTTACCAGCATAAGGAATAGAATGGAAAAGGTATCCATCGGATGAACAAAGACACCATATTTTAAACCCAAAGCGAACAGGTTTGCCCTTCATAAACATTTTGCACGAATGCCTCCCAAAATATGGGATCATTTGTTCATCAATACTGAGATTGTGGGAGAACACATCAAATTTTACAAAATTTGCATTCATTAACTCAACATATGAACGGATTTTATAAAGCTTATCATTAGATTGAATTTTTGTATTGTCACTAAAATGAAGATTTTGTTTAATATTTCTAAAATGTTGACGACTTAAAGCATTAGTTACTATTTTGATGTTGCAGTCTTCCGCATTTTCCCAGTACATTTCTTCTCTTGGTAGCTTACGATAGCCAGTAAAAAGCAGAAATCCAATAAAACGTTGTAACTGATAAGATTTCAGTTCAAATCCATGTCTGTTTTTTTGTTGAGCATATATTTGACTTTGATCAATAATATGAGCAATAACTGTATCATCGAAAAATTCTTGAAACATTTCTGTTTCTGTTTTGTCAGCTAAACATCCAATGAGATGTGATATTTTCAAATTTTGATCATCTTTTGGAGTTGAACAATATTTTGGTTTTAGTCGTTTCCAATTAACTGGAATATTTTGCTTTTTAGATTTTAATATTTTATTTTTTCCATTGCTCAACTGTGAATGAAGCTTATTTCCAGTTTTGACTTTATCAATCTCATAGTGAACTTCTACTGTTCCACAGATATCCTGTGGCATATCAATATTGACAGTCAAATCATTTTCTTCAAAATCCTCACAATCACTCTGGTCATTTACAACTTCTGGTGGAAACACAACTATGTCTGCATTAAAAATATCATCATCCTCAGCAATCATGTCCACGGCCTCTTTCAAACTAAAAAATCTGTTATTTTCCATCTGAAAAATTTAAAATAAAGTCTTCATTTTTATAACTTTAAGCTTTTGTTACATTTCATTAATAATAAAATTATGAAAAATAATGAAATGATTATGCACTTAAAACATAATGAAATTGAAAAAACAAATACTAATGTTTTACCACAAAGGACAACATAAAATGTCGAGGTTGCGAAAACGCAACGTTCGATTTTCTACATCATTCACACGAAATTCTAAAACAATCTACAATTTTGTATTTTAAAATATAAAAAAGCAACCTTTTCTTTATTGGAATTATGATAAATCAATCACGGATTACAATTGACAAATGTTTTAAAAACCGTCTCGATTAGACCTCCAAAATTAAAATGAAACCTCGACAAATTCAAAAATTAAAAAAAAATCTAAATTAATCAAGTGTAAAATTTTATAATATTTATGTATTTGCATTAATGGACAATAGGTTTAAATATAATTTTTGCAAATAGACCAAACGAAAAATATAATTTAAGGAGTTTAAAATACGCGTTGCGTTAAATGGGTTAATGGCGGTAAATGGGTTAATTAATAAATATACATATGTAACTAATAGTCTATTAATATATATTATATACTACCGCTAATTAGCCAAATTTGTTTTTAATGAATAAATATATTTTGAAGTGCACCTAACCTAACTAAATAAAAAATGTTGGACTCTGGGGTTTATGACAATTATTCTGATTCCTGCCCGAGTTCTGAAGTCGATAATGATGACAGCCAAAAATTGAAAAATGAGCCATCAACTAAGACAAAAAACTTTAATTCAAATTTAGACAACCCTGAAAACTGGTCACTAATCGCTGAACAGACATTAAAAAGAATAAAAGAATCTTATGACGACCTGAGAAGAGGTGACAAAGACAATTCGGATGCTAATTTAGAATCTTTGACTGGCCGCTTTAATAAAGCAAGCCGCCTGAGTAAAAGTTTTTATTTTGGTAGTCGAGGGTTCAAAGAATTATCCACACCTTTATCAAGAAAAAATAGAAAAAATATCTTTTCACTCAGTGGTTTAGACCTTGACAGCCGAACCATTGAACGACTTAGTGAACTTCACCTAAACAAAAAAGATTGGCACAACAAAGATGATTTAGTTGAATCTCTGAAGCGACTTTTTGATTCACACATTGCTAACAAATATGGGTCAGTAAGTGGTAGCCTGTGTTCAAATGCTTCATCTGAATTCCTCTCCTCATTCGACGATGGAGGAAGTAGTGGCGGTGACAGGAGTGGTTCGCAGGCCGAGACCAGTGATGTGCTGAGTGATGGGGGTAGTGATTACGTTGATGACGAAGAGAGAGGACTGAGTTTTATTTGCGATGAATCAGTTGACAATAGTTTTGAAGGTCAACCTTCAACTATAAAAGGACAGGCAAAAGATCTTTCTAATGAGGTCAGTGTTGATCTAGATTATGATGCTGGTGCATTGGTCATTAAAAGTAATGATATATCAGTTGGTTTGGAGGGAGGAACTTGTGCCATCAATGAGTCTGACCTCTTGCTGTCTGGTGATAACAACAACAACAATAAGAATAATTATAATGATAATAATAATAATGATAATAATATTGATGATGCTTCAGAAATACTATCCACATTAAGTAATATTACCGCCAGAATTAGTGAAATTCTAGCAGACAAGTCATACAGAGATGAGGCTGTGATTGCTGCCACTGCTGCTGCTGCTACTACTACTACTACTTTTGCAGACGTGGTCGATACTTCTACCATAGTTACTGCAACAAATGCTGCTACTAGCCCCAGCACTACTACTACTTATGTTGAAAGCCATGGTGTTAGAAATTCTTTATCAACTACTAATTCTTCATCAACTGTTTCTAATGATGAGGCCCCTACTTCTACTACTACTGCAGCTTCTACTATAACCACTACAGCTACTACTACCAGAATTATTTCAGATATTAATGGTCTAGCTAATACTAATAATAGTAATGATAATAAAGTTAAAACTGTCAAAAGTTTCTTGGATATAGAGGAAACCCTACCTAAACTGAATTGGGAGTTTCTGGAGCAACAACTAAGCAAGGCTCTGTTAAAAGAACAGGTTGGTTGTTGATTGATTTCTTGATTGATTGGATGGTTTGTCAATTAACTAACTGGATGATTGATTGCTTGGTCGGCTGGTTGATTTGTTTGTTGCTGGATTGTTTGTTGTTTTATTGGAAGACATATTGGCTTGCTGGTCAATTGTTTGATTGGCTTGCTGGTTAGTTGTTTGATTGGTTTGTTGGTTAGTTGTTTGATTGGTTTTTAAGTTAGTTGTTTGATTGGTTTGTTGGTTAGTTGTTTGATTGGTTTGTTGGTTAGCTGTTTGATTGGTTTGTTGGTTAGCTGTTTGATTGGTTAGTTTATTCATTTATTGACATTTGTATGCATGCACAGCAATCGCAGGCACTGCCCACCCTAGCCACACAACCAACAACAATTACATCGACGACCACATCAGCCACAACTTCAACAGTATCTGCAGCGTCAAAACGCTACGAAACGTTGAAGAAACTTGTCTCAGAGGCTCAATTAGAGTACAATGACGACGACCATGACACCAGCAACAACTTTGATAACAGCAACAACAATAACAACATTTTTTTCAACGCTATATACGCTACAAAATACAACAACAACAACATAGAAACAAGAGCAAAAACATCAAAACAAATTTTCCCCCATAAACCCCTCAAAAAACATCACTATCTCTCAGCAGCTGAAAGCAAAAACAGCTTACAAGTTTGTTTTGTAAATGAAGTATCTTCGGATGATGAAGAAGAAGATGTTGACGACGATGTTGGGGCTTCTGGTTATGATACTAGTATCCGTCATCAGGATCATTATCATCACAATCAGCAACATCACTATCATCATCATCATCATCGACAACATCAACAGCCATCATCATCATCATCGTTGCCTTCCGAGTTCAATACAATTTCATCATCTTATTTAGATACTGATGATGGTGATCAAAAGGTTTGGGCATGTTTGTGTTTGTATGTGTTTGTGCTGTATGTGTGTCGTGTGTGTGTGTGTGTTGTGTTGTGTTGTGTGTATGCCAGTGTATGTTTGGTATGTGTATGTTTTGTGTGTGTTGTGTGTATTTATGTGTCTTTATTTTTGCTCGTTTGTGTGGTTGTATGTACTTCTTTGTGTGTGTGTGTTTGTGTTTGTGTGTGTGTGTGTGTGTCATTTTTTGTTTGTTTAAATGTTTTGATTTATTTTAAAATTGAATAAGTATATACTGAACATTTACATGACTCCTCATTATTTCTTCAAATGTCCAAGCACTCCATTTAACTAATATTCTGATGAATCAGTTTTCTTATTTGAATTTTTTTTGGTAACTCTAGAAGGATTTTTTCATGTGTTATTTATGTATTTTTAATACTATTTTTCTTTTTTCT